GAAGCTGAAAGACAAGAGTGATGATGGAAAAGACAAAAAAAACTGATAAAGATCGCAATCATAGCTTAATTTACACACTGGCTTAAAAGGCAATAAAATATCTTTCAGAGATTTTTTTTATGAGACCCAAATGTACTTTTGTTTAAATGACGAGATTAGAAATAAATACTATGGGGGTGCCTGGGTGCCTCAGTCAGTTGGTTAAGCATCTGACCCTTGAAATCGGCTCAGGTCATGATCCCAAGGTTGTGGGATCGAGCCCTTGGTCAGACTCCATGCTGAGTGTGGAGTCTGCTTAAGGTTCTCTCTCTCTCTTTCTCTCCCTCTCTTTTTCTCTCCCCCTCTCTCCTGCTCATACTCTCTATAAAATGAAAGAAGGAAAGAATGAAAGGAAGGAAGGAAGGAAAGAAGGAAGGAGGGAAAGAAGGAAGAAAGATTATAGGGATGGCTTGTTAAAGTTTAATTGGCATTAGATTTACACTTTCAACTTTCAGCTCCCCTACTTTCTGGCATGCAAGCATAGCAGATAACCAAGCTTCTCTCAAGTGTAGTATCCTCATCTGCAAAATGGACACAGTGATATATGTCTCAAGAGATTATTGCAGTTTATAGACATTGAAGTGGTCAATAATGTTATTATTATTAATTCTCATTCTAGAAAGTTCTTTGCTTTAAATTGCAATCTTTAGTGTTGCATGTAGGCTGGCATGATTTCATAGACCAATGTAGGCTACATGACACAAAATGGAGGTTAGCCCCCTCAAATACTGAACCCAATCCCTTTCTGGATTACCTTTCTCAACTCTTAGAACTGGGAACCTAGAAACTTCACTTCCTAGAGTCTTTTTGAGCTCAGTGTGACCACACAATTCACTGCCGTACAACGAATGAGGTGCAAGCATTAGTGTGGAATTGCCTTCTTCTCTACAGTCTGTAATGTAGATGTGACGATGGGAACTGCAATAACGTCCACGTCACCATGAGGGAAAGTGAAAAGAATGGAAGCCCAGAACCGAAGCTAACAACCTCCTACCACTAGATCTATTGCTGTATGAGAAAAAGGATGTCCCTAGTTTCTTTAAGTCACAAACTGATCGAATTCTCCCTCGCAAGTGAATACAGTCCCCAGCTGAGACATTCCCAGTGTGTGCGGAATGGACAAATCGCTATTCTGGTCCTTGCTAGTCACGTGACATGAGAAAAAGCAACATGTGGGAACAAGGGTGGGTGAGGGAGGCGTCCCGCAGTTGAGACAACGCAAGGCCGAACACGGTAAGCACCTGACAGTCTTTCTGGCGTAAGAGGCTACCGGTGGCCTTATCTTAGAGCCTTGAATTGTTTGGTAGTGGGTCACAGAATTATTTCTCTGTGGCCATTTTGCGTTGAAGAGAACACCTCAGGCAATTCAGCAGAGGCAGAACAGGACATACAAATGAATGAACATATTCCGCACTAAGCCAACGTCAGCACTATCTCCTTTACGTTGTGTGCTGGCAGAGTTTCCAGACAAACCCACCAAATAACTTTGACAAATAATTACAACTTGAAACTAAGAGGAGACTTGATCCTAAAAGTACTTTAAAAAAAAATTTTTTTTAACATTTATTTATTTTTGAGACAGAGAGAGACAGAGCATGAACGGGGGAGGGTCAGAGAGAGGGAGACACAGAATCTGAAACAGGCTCCAGGCTCTGAGCTGTCAGCACAGAGCCTGACGCGGGGCTCAAACTCACGGGCCGTGAGATCATGACCTGAGCTGAAGTCGGATGCTCAACCGACTGCGCCACCCAGGCACCCCTTTTTTTTTTTTAATTTTTTTTAATGTTTATTTATTTTTGAGACAGAGAGAGACAGAGCATGAACGGGGGAGGGGCAGAGAGAGGGAGACACAGAATCGGAAGCAGGCTCCAGGCTCTGAGTCATCAGCCCAGAGCCTGATGGGGGCTCGAACTCACGGACCGCGAGATCGTGATCTGAGCTGAAGTCGGCCACTCGACTGAGCCACCCAGGGGCCCCCTAAAAGTACTTTTTTAATGTTTATGTTTGAGAGAGAGAGAGAGAGAGTACAAGTGAAGGAGGGGCAAAGAGAGCGGGCGGGGAGAGGATCTGAAGCAGGTTCTGTGCTGACAGCACAGAGCCCTACGTGGGGCTCGAATTCATGTACCATGAGATCATGACCTGAGCCGAAGTTGGAAGCTCAACCCGCTGAGCCACCCAGGCGCCCTGAAGGTATTTTTCAAAGTCAGTTTTCAAATGCACTATGTCTACTAACAAATGTGGTTCATGTTCAACGGTCTTATTTTAAAATAAACAAAAATAGCAGTAACCACTCGGCTAGGCATGTACATTTCATCACATTCTGGATACTGAGTTGCTTACTGTCAAAAAATAACCCAAGTCTAAGAAAATGTTTTACTAAAAACTGGCTTATAAGAATTTTTTGCTTTTTACCTCTATAAGAAAATTTCCAAATAACATTGGACAATGTAGTCCCTTGGAATATATGATCTCACGGTATTTTAAAAATAAAGTCCTGACACATTGTATTTTAAGAGTAAGAGTGGGTGAGCCATGAAAGAAAATAAAAATCTTGAGTTTCTTTGGGGTTAGAATTTGTTCTCTTCTGCATAAATAATTAAAAATAATCTCTCCCTCTTCTGAATTCAGTTATGGCAAATTAGGTAATATGGACCAAACCTCTTGCTGAAAAGTATAAATCACAAAGGATAAAATACATATTTTTAAATCTTACAACCATCAAATAAATAGCAAGGATTTACCAGGACACCTTATTGGTGAGAAAACAGGACAGCAACCTCGTAAAGCAGCAACCTCTACCCTGAGAGAATATGAAAATCTGGACCAATTTAAACCTCCATTTTGATAGCTCTGTGCAGGAACAGAGCCAAATTAAGGTCTAGAGCGCACGGAAGGTTGGGCATCCAACAGAAGGCTCAGTCCCGTGATAAGCCGGAACCTGAGAGGTCTACTCTCTGAAAATAAAGGGAATGAGACACAACACAGCTCCTCCAGAACATGCATGCCTGAATGTCCAAGGATGCTCGGCTTGTTGATTTTAGGTGCTCCCTGACTGGTAGTTCCCCAAGAGTCTGGCAAGAGCAAATGTAAATCTTCTGGAGGAAAGTGTGAAATCCTAAATCTCAAATTATTCATCTGTGTTCCCCCAAATACCTTTGCCGGCAAAGATAAGATACCGTATAACAGAACGATCTGCAAATAATAAACAAATAAATAAAACCTAGATGCACAAACACATCAGATATCTGAATATATCATAGCCCATGAAACCCATGCGTATTATGTTTAAAGAAATAAAGGTGATAAAGTTGAAAATAGCAGTCGTGAGCACAAAGCTGTAAAAGAGGTCAATAAACCTGAAAATGAAATAAAGACTATGAATAAAAATAGAGCTGGAATTTAAATGTCAATGGATAATGGGGTGAGGGGAGGCTATACTGAAAACAGTGCCACAGGCACAGGACACGGGTGGAATTGATGGGAGTGTTTCTTTCTGAAACAAATAGAATATTGCTCATCACAATGAAACATAATTTAATATGATGTATCATCCGCTGCAGACTCTTCTAGACCCATTCATCTCCCTTTTGTTGTTCATTTCATCTTTAAAGTTACCCCATCAGTGGGATAGGGAAGATGTGTTCATTTTCAAATGAGAGAACTCAGTGCATAGGTGTCTTTCAAAAATTGTCATTGGGGTGCCTGGGTGGCTCAGTTGGTTGGGCATCGACTGGATTTCAGCTCAGGTCATGATCCTAGGGTTGTGGAATCAAGCATGGAGCTGGGACCCTCCACTGAGCACAGAGCTAGCTTGGGATTCTCTCTCTCTCTCTCTCTCTCTCTCTCTCTCTCTCTCCCCCCCCTCCCCTGCTTGCGCTCTCTCTCTCTCTAAAAAAGAAAAATAAATGTTGCCACTGCCTTTTTACTTAATTTCACTTGTAGTAATTTAAAGGTGCTTTGGAAATGGATCCATATCGTGCAGCTTGCTGGATGGGCGAAATTTGAGATTAGCCCTTAATTAGGTGTTTTGTCTACCTATGGATACAAACTGTATTTACAGTTTGTAAGTAAATACTAAAATTGATGGTGAGATGTTGATTTTCAGCCAAATAGACAGCACATTGCTGAGAGATATTTGTATTTCTAGGAAAATAAATACATGTGTATCTGAGCTGTTAGGTGTGGGCGAAAGTGTTGTGAAGTCCACGGGTGGGTGATCCGGCCTGACCTGGCTTTCCGAGGTGAAACTTCCAGTTTGGGATTTATAAAGACACAGACTTCAGAAACCAATGAATAAAAAATCTATTTCCATCAGAATGTGAGGACACCATTATCCCACATCCTACGTGATATAGACAGAGACACCGAGGAAAGGCATTAGTTTTTGTCAATCAAAATTATGTAGGAGCAAAAGAAAAGGCCTCTTTGGAGGTGCTGCAACAACGCTATTTAAAGAAAAGAAGACAAATCTTAGAAATGATTCCCTGGGGCTCCCGGGGGGCTCAGTCAGTTAAGCATCTGACTTTAGCTCATGCCGTCATCTCTCGGTTTGTGAGTTCAAGCCCTGCGTCGGGCTCTGTACTGGATTCCGTGTCTCCCTCTCTCTCTCTGCCTTGCTCACGCTCTGTTTCTCTCTCTCTCTCAAAAATAAATAAACATGAAAAAAATTTAAAAAGAACAAAAAAAGACATGGGCTCCCTGTTCACAAGTGGAGGCAACAAAAAGAGGCAGTCAAGCTTATTGGGAAAAAAGTGACTCCAAAAGCGCATGTGGCCCCAGTTGCTCAGCGCCCCACCCTGGGTGGCCCCAGCTCCCACCACCAGACCCCCTTCTGGCGGCTGGGTGTTGCTCCAAGACCAAGGATGTCCCACGACCCACGCGATGTGTGCCAACGAGGACCAGGAGATGGAACGAAGCACGGTGTTGTGTTTATCAAGGAGTTGAAGTTTCTGGTAATTAAGTCCAGTGCATTTCAACCTAGGAGAGGTGAATATGGTGATCCCAAAACCCTCTTAATAGAAATTTCCTGGACAGAAACATATCCCCAAACGGCTCCAATGATTTCTATGAACGCCTTTTTTAACAACACCCATATCATCAACTGTAAAGCAGAGCATGTTATCCAATCACAGGAAGCAGTGGAAGGTCAGTCTTGGGACCACCATGACCTACACATCGTTGGACAATGAAGAGCAGTTCATGGAGAATCATCATCCCGTTGATTCTCTGAGACCCATCAGCAGGACCGTCTCCGTTGAAGCTCCTACGACTGCCGCATCAGGTAAGAAAAAAGACAAAAAAGAACAACTTCGAAAAACCCAGAAATGTAAATTGGCAGACAAAACAAAACACAAAGGAGATCTTCCTCAAGGATGGGACTGGGTTGATGCAGTGAGGCATTTAGGCAAAACTGACTCTAAAGATGATGAATAGTGCTTGGAGTTAGAGACAAGAGAAGAGCATCATTTAAAGGGTAAACTGGGCTCAGGTTGCCTGGGTGCCTCAGGCAGTTGAGCGTCAGAATCTTGATTTCGTCTCCGGTCATAATCCCAAGGTCCTGGGCTCCAACCTAGATCCAGACTTGGATCCAGCTCCAGGCTGAGGGTGGAGCCTGTTTAAGATTCTCTCTCTCTCTCTCTCTCCCCTCCTCCTCCTCCCCCCTCACTCTCTTTAAAAAAAAAAAAAAAAGTAGGGGCCCCTGGGTGGTTCAGTCGGTGGCTCAGGTCATGATCTCACGGTTCCCGAGTTGGAGCCCCGCCTCAGGCTCTGGGCTGACAGCTCAGAGCCTGGAGCCTGCTTCTCCCTCTCTCTGCCTCTCCCCTGCTCATGCTCTGTCTCCCTCTCAAAAATAAATCATTTTTTTTTTTAAAGTAAACTTGGTTCAACATCTTTTGTAGTCTTTTCTGGCATTGAGGTGGCTTTTTTATAAAACAGATATTTTTTTGCCCGTGGCTTATATAAAAAAAATGTTTTACGCTGAAAGTTCACAAAGGGATCTGGTTGTATTAAATTATTCTCACAAGCTTGCCTTAATAAAAGGTGAGACGGTACTGTTTAGTATACTTTAGAAAGATGGTTGAGCTTTGTTAAGGGACCAAATGGGGGGAAATGAATGTTAACTTATTATTCTAGTGGATGTGATATTTTTTAAAGGACTAGGAAGCCCTTTTGAAACTCTCACCCCAATGGAGCAGAATACTGAGTGAACAGTTATTTTGCGGCGTGAGCCATATTAAGAGATTTCTCGTCTTAATAAAATTCATCTCCTTTCCCTTAATGACTGAAGCATAAATTGCTTCAGATAAATTTAAATACTAGTATTTGAACTTTAGACATAATATTCTTTGTAGTTCCTTTTTACTTTTCAAGGGTGAACCACTTCTTTTTAGTAAATGAGTATCTGTTTATACTTTTCTCTTGGTTTGGGTCATGATAGTTGCCCACGAGAGTTTTCAGTGGTGTATAGAATGGGAGAATATGAAAGTAAATGTGCCAAATATCTTCGAAAGCATTTGAACAGAAGTGCCGGTTCCCACTGAAAGCATTTCTCTTTGCTGCATATACCAAGACGGGAGTAACGAATGCCTTAATATTTCATTTTTGTGTTGTTGGAGACAATGGTTTTAATAAAATCTGCTAGTGTGTGTTTTTAGTTGTCTGGTAACTGAGGTCTTCTAAATGACTTAACATAAAACCACATCTCAGGTCCCATTTCTTTGCACATATCCAAACATATTCCTCAGCCCGAGCATCTTCATAATAATAGACATTGAGGTTTTTTCAACTGCTGAATCATAGTATGTGCTTGGTTATTTTTTAAAATCACGAATAGGGTAACTATTAGTGTGATGTAAGCAGGAAGTTATTGATGTATATTGTGATTTATAGTGACTGCATTTGCTCCCTGGTTTTTTTTTTTTTTGTAACTTTATTTATTTATTTATTTATTTATTTATTTATTTATTTAGAGAGGGAGAGAGGGATGTGGGAGGGGCAGAGAGAGGGAGGGAGAGAGAGAATCCACACTATCAGTGCACAGCCCATCACAGGGCTCGAACTCACGAACCGTGAGATCAAGACTGGAGCTAAAGTCAAGAGTCAGAAGCTTAACCAACTGAGCCACCCAGGCGCTCCAGCTCCCTGGCTTTAAAACCTTAAGACTTGTTGGGGCGCCTGGGTGGCGCAGTCGGTTAAGCGTCCGACTTCAGCCAGGTCACGATCTCGCGGTCCGTGAGTTCGAGCCCCGCATCAGGCTCTGGGCTAATGGCTCAGAGCCTGGAGCTTGTTTCACATTCTGTGTCTCCCTCTCTCTCTGCCCCTCCCCTGTTCATGCTCTGTCTCTCTCTGTCCCAAAAATAAATAAATGTTGAAAAAAAAAAAACCTTAAGACTTGCTACTGTGGTATCTCGAAGGGTAGACTGTTGTTCCTCAAGTTACACCTATTCACCTTGGGTCTGAAGTTTGTAAAGAATAATTGACTTTTAAAGATGTTTCCTTCGCATAATGAGAGCAGTTTGAGTTGTATCCGTGGCTTTTACGGGGCTAACATTAGGCTCAGTTAAATCGTTTGAATTACGAAGCAAATGCCATTGGTGGTGAAGAAGTGTAATCTGATTTTCAAAAGTGGGATCACATTTTATATCTTGAATTAATATCATAGAAACATGAAAAGTCAAGGCCACTGGAATATGCCAGTTTTTGTTCTGGGGATTATGTGAGTGGTTTTCGTTGTGTTGATCTGTTTGCTTGTTTGTAAAGAAACTGACCCAGCTACATCTGCTGGCGCAACAAATTGTTTTACTCTGAAGATTCTGAAATTGTTCAGGCTTATTATGGTTCATGGATGACAAAGAATAATGTTAGTTAAATGCCAATGGACTATTTTTAATCTTTTTGTATGAAATGTACAAATTTGGGGGGCAATGGTGGCACGGCTGCCTCTTACTACTTATGTAAAACACTTGAGCTTTCTCGTCTATATTTCCATCATCTAATACTCCAAGTGTATTCTTTCAAAGTCTGTTGACCTAAAATTGTATGGAATGACATAATTAATAAGCAATAAAACCTGAATTACACACACACACACACACACACACACACACACACACACACACAAACACAAGAGTATGTGACAATAGGTTTAAGGAAGAGAGGAAATCGGGGTGGGCAGACCCCTTGCCAGCATGCACCTGTCCAGAATGTGACATTGAAGCAAATATCCTAGCAATGTGGAACTCTGTGGGGTAATGCGTCTCCAGTTTTTGTGTGCTATTTAGTTCTATTAAATAATTACATTTTGTTCAGTTAAGCAGATTTAATAGGACACAGTTTTAGATGGTTAGTTTTCTATAGTCTTTTGACGAATACATCTGAAACAAATCTGCTCGTCAATAGCAAAGTTGTTAAGTTTGGCTTCACCCCCCATGCATTTCTTAATTTTCACTGCCAATTTCACAAATGGAAAGAATCTCAAGAGCCTTCTCTTCAACTCTGTTAGCACCTTTAGCAGTGCCAATACGTGCAACCAAACAAATTTCAAGGGATTGGGGCAGCTATGGTGTGATCATGGGAACTTTAAAAAACAATGCAAATGACAAAATGGCAAACTTACAGTTGGAGACATGTTAGTGGTTCCCAGAGGTGGGAGGTGGCTTAGTGGAGCAAAAGGGCAGCACAAGGAATCTGCAAGGTAGATTTCTGTCTCTTACCTAGGGTTTTAGACACATGAACCTACACGAGTGCCAAGAATGGAAAGCACGCACAAATGAGTGAGTGCGTGCAAGACCGGTGGGACCTGAGTGAAATCTATGGACTACATCACTGTCAATCTCTTGGTCGCGCTGTTGGTGTTGTAAAATGTTATCTCTGTAGGAAGTTGAGTAAGCAGCATAGATCTTTCTTAATACTTTATTACAGCTTCATGTTAACCTATTGAAAAGTTAAAACCTATGCAGTTCAGTCTTTTTACTTTCAGTCCTTCTCATAGATGTATGTTGGTATCCCATCATGGTTTTAATTTACATAATTGGTACTTATTTGCCATTCATATATTTTCATTGGTTAAGGGTTGAAATATTTTTGTTATTTTCTTATTATAAATTGAATTTTAGAGATTTTTTTTAATTGTCTATAAGAACTTATCAATAGGTGCTTTGTCTTGTGTCTGTGGGTTTTCATTCTCTTAACAGTGCTTTTGAAGAGAAGATTTGCTTTTATGCTGTCCAATTTGCCGATTACTTATTTTATGAATTGTATTTTAGATATCATATCTATGAAATATTTTTAACCCCAGGCCACAGAGATTTTCTCCATATCAAGTAGTGATGAAGATATGGAGGAAAAGACTCTTATACACTACCTGTGGTAATGTAAAATGCTACAGCCTCTTTGAAAAACAGTTTGGGAGTTTTTAAAAATGGTAACTTATTCCTAATATATGACTCAGACATTTCATTCCCAGGAATTTACTCAAAAGAAAAGAAAGCACGTGGCCATGCAAAGTCTAGTACAGGGATACTCACAGCAGCTTTAGAGTAATGGTCCCAAACTGGAAACAACTTAAATGCCCATCAATAATAGACAGATGGGCTACCGGCTCATGATGATCTCACAGTTCGGTTGAGCGTCGAGGCTCTGTGTGCTGATGAAACCGAGCCTGGAGCCTGCTTCAGATTCCGTGTCTCCCTCTCTCTCTGCCCCTCCCCCACTCGCACTCTGTCTCTGTCTCAAAAATAAAATAAACATTAAAAACATTAAAAAATAGATGAATGAGTGTACAAGTTGTGGTATATTTATGCAATAGTATACCACTGATAAAGATGAATGAAAGTACCCAAAGCAATCTACATATTCAATGCAATCCCTATCAAAATAACACCAGCATTCTTCACAGAGCTAGAACAAACAATCCTGAAATATGTATGGAACCAGAAAAGACTGGAATAGCCAAAGCAATTCTTGAAAAAGAAAACCAAAGCTGGAGGCATCACAAACCTGGACTTCAAGCTGTATTACAAACCTGTAATCATCAAGACAGTATGGTACTGGCACAAAAACAGAGACTCAGATCAGTGAAGCAGAATAGATAACCATAAACGGACCCACAAACATATGGCCAACTAATCTTTGACAAAGCAGGAAAGAATATCCAAAGGAATAAAGACAGTCTTTTCAGCAAATGGTGCTGGGAAAACTGAACAGCAACATGCAAAAGAATGAACTTGGACCACTTTCTTACACCATACACAAAAATAAATTCAAAATGGATGAAAGACCTGAATGCAAGCCAGGAAGCCATCAAAATCCTTCAGGAGAAAGCAGGCAAGAACCCCTTTCACTTTGGCCACAGCAACTTCTTAACACATCTGCAGAGGCCAGAGAAATAAAGCAAAAATGAACTGTTGGGACCTCATCAAAATAAAAAGCTCCAG